ATGTTTAAATATAATAATTATATTATTTTGGGTTGAAAACCCTATGTACTCACCAGGTTTCCCAACTTGACCCACTCAAGCTTATTTGTATCATAGGTGTCGATACGAAGTTACATTACACTAAGAGATTAAAGAGATGTAGATCACTAGGGTAAATGAATGTAAATTCTGTTTATGCTTATGTTTATGTATTGACGAAGACATCCCAAATGTTTTAAAATGAATAAAAATACATTTCTTTGGAAATGCTTTGATAATGTATTTATCATATTTTCTGGGAACAAATTCCGCAACACTTTTATGTTAAATGTTACTCTGATTTTTAAACAAGCATAAACAAAATCGGTCTTTTCTGTCCGTGAAAAATGGGGATGTCACATAAATCTTACTACATCATGTAAAATTTAACCTGGGTAAGGTCCTTTCATGAAAGCCCCATCAAGTCAAAGAAAGTCCATTATCCCTGCTACAAATCCTTTCTTTAAAGCACCAATCCATACATACATGTACCTAAAGTTTCTTGTCTCAATATCACGATTTTGTTAGCTTTTGACATCAATTCTGATAGTAGTGTCTGGGTTACGAGTCTGCACCTTTAACCAATCATCTCGCAAAATATTATACTTATTGGCATAATCACCCCTTTATGATTTTTAAGGTTGCTTCTCTTGCCTTAAATGCTTTCATCTTTAAAATGTATGCCTTATAAATACGTTGAAGTTGTTCCCTTAAAACCTTAATTTCAACATTCGGTTTGTTTCTACATGTTGTGGTATTTTCTTTGAAAGATAACTTGTAATCACAAACCCAAAGAAAGACTAGTGTGTCCCTCCAAATTCCATGGAAAACAAGATTAAGAGTAACCCAAAAAGGGTATTGAGGTATTCTATACATGCCTCACTTGTGCATGGGGGTAGTTACCTCATGTAAAAAATTAGTGATTGATAGCTCACCCATACCCATAAAGAGACCAATAAGAAATGAGAGAGGTCGTGATATACGGTGCTTTGTGATAAATATGTCATAGTCTTCATTTGCATCGAAACAAGAATTATGAATTGAACAAATAGGAGAACACTTTGGGTATAGATTGCATCATGCATTTCATTATTTCCATTTATGATGAGTATGTGTATTTATACAATTTGTGAGATTTAAATTGTAAATGAGTAAAAGAGTTTAACTAAGAGTTCTTTTTGTTTTTACTTAAGAGTGTTTCAAAGAGAAGAGAATAAATAGATTAACCAAAGAGTTTATATAAAATAGTAAGAGTTTAAGAATTGGATATTGTTTAATAAAAAGAATTATAGGAGTTCTATGTGATTTTTCAAAAGAGTAAAGAGTAACTATTTCATTTGAATAAAGAGTTAAGTGTTGTAAAGAATTTTCAAAATATTTTTAAAGATACAACATAGGTCAAGGAATGAGTGATTCCTAGACTACAAAAGTAATGGAGTCCTGATATTACTCACTAAGCATTCCTAATACCTAAACTACGACTTTGACATGTATTTAGGTGCAAGTAGAGATCGAGTCTTACAAGATTTGAGATATTTTTAAGTTTATTGTTATGCTGTCGTAAATTATCATATTTAATGATATTTAAATTGATGACCCTCCTATAAAACCTCTTTTAATCTTTTGAGATATTAGGACTGAAATTCCTCAAATAAAGTTTATTTTATATTAAAATGATTCTTATGGTTTATTAAATATAAAACTAAAAAGGGATGTTTTTATATGTATTGGTTCAAGGAAAGTGCAATTTGCTTGAACTGTAACATGTTGAACATTGATAGTAGTACTCAACTTAGAGGTGAAGACGTTTAAGGTAGTTATGGACATCTAAAAGGCTATATTACAAGGTACTGGTTTTGATAAAGTTATATGTTATAATATTAGATAGTTACACCTCCATATTTTAAAATTTTGTTACATTAAACTTTGGTTTTTATGACATTGGGACCTATATTTTCTGCAAACCATATTTGATATTTTTTTTTGATTGATCAAAATATTTAATCAACACGAGGGTTGTTCCAATACATAAATGGAAGATTATTGTAATGGATACCTCAATGGATTTAAGGTTGTTATACATTAAGGTTAACTTTCCAAATCCCTAGTTCATTCGTGTATTTTCTTTAAAACGCATGCCTACTCTGACTTGCAAATTCCATAAACAACAAGCAATATTTTTATGTTACCATATATGGTGATCTCTAGTAACATTGTGACATTTAAGTGACCCTAAAGGTGAACATCATGTATTACAAGTGCTCGTCATGTGTATTTACGAAATAGACATATTTGCAAAATATTAGTGTTAGATTGACAAGTATTAACGTGCAAATATTCACCCACTTATGGCACTGAAAAATGTGTATCGTGCAATCATTTATGGTGAAGATAACTTAAACTAATCTTAGACATCCATCTGAGTATGTATCATGGTGCCTATATTTGCCTTATTCAAATTGTGATAATGTGTGGGAATAATGGAAAATAAATCTTTTGGGATTTCCTTCAAAAGTTATAGTACATAGCACTTTTCCTGCCAAGTTTGTTATAGAAAACGCCAACTTTGAACTTCAAATTGAAATCTCAAACGATTTCCTTTCACTTATGTACTCTACTGTGGTTATCAAGTATAACCTCTTTCAACTAATGTCCTCAACACTTATTAATTAACTTGATAATGGTTGGGGTATAATCACATTTTTTTAAAATGTGTGTTTGCAAAAAAAAAAAAAAAAAAAAAAAACACTTGGAAAAATCGAGCACCCTTAAATAGGTTAGCCCTTATGCATGATGTGTATTTTTCATGAGTACATTTTGCCTCAAACCTTTCTTTTATAGATATTTTCATTTTGTAATGAAAGCCTTCTTGAACACATTTCAATCTATAGCTAGTTGAAAACCTTCTTTGCTATTAAATATTTGTAGGTTTTAATATATGTTGTTGGCTTTTGGTTGTATGATTGTGTGCGTGCATAAATGAAGTTTGCACATGGCATTAGGGTATGTATACATTAGTAATGTGTTTTTATTCCCATACCAATGTATTCATCCTTCAACCAACCATCATAGGAAGTACTTATTTCAAGGTTTGGTATCCCAAAACAATATTGTAATAGCTACTTGCAAGGAGACAGATTTGAATCATTTATAAAGGAAGCATCAAGCATGCCTAGGTATTCGACATCCTCATATGTAGAAACGTCATCATCACCGATATACTTATGATTCTTTTGAGAAACATATTGAATACCCATGAGAGATTAAAATATACCCTTGATTGTTTCTTACCACATGTGACCCTCTTTAACTATATCAGTTTCCGCTACACTAATTTCCATTAATTGTTGATCAGTTTCCCGGAGTAGATCTATGTGTATAGAGTCATTCACATCATCTATGCAATACTTATGTAAAAATTTCAACACATATTGTAAACAACATTAGAAAGTGTTGAACATCATTGCCACTAAGTATTTCTATAACATATTTCAAGTTAGAATGTAGGAAAGATAATATATGTTTCTATCTTCTAAAACTAACTTTCTTGTCACCAAATGAAACAACCTAGAAAGATATATATTAAAGGGAACATAAAAATTATGTTTTCTCATTGTTGGCATGATGTATTCAGTTGGCGTGAGAAGAGTAAAAATGGACCCTAAACACATTTTTTTAGTAAAGGAGAAAAAAGAGGGATCATAAGTCGAACATGGTTGGATTAAATTGAAGGGAAGTGCCTAAGTAATTTCAGCTACACTACTTTTATTAACTAAAAAAATATACATCTAACATATATTTGAAGATTAATATGTATATCAACCGAATTTCCATCCCTATAGGGTTGCACATCATGCACACCCTTAGGGATGACCCTGCTTAGAGACACCATTGATTATCATCCATGAACCTACAACTATATATAAGTTGCTCGATGAATTAATTTGACTTATAAAATTTTCTCAAAAGATTGAATACTTTTATAAAAATTATCTTTACCAAACCTCCTTCTGTATAAAAGATGATAATTTCATAGGATACAAAATAATTCCACATTGTCATTGTCAAATTTAATTCCACGATTACAAAATAATTGTCAAAAGACAATTCCACAACGTTGTCCATAGAGGGGTCCATCCTTATGGAGTTGGTTACATATTTTGATAGATGTTCATCTTAACGTGACAAACTATAAAATCTAAAAAGATGCATAAATACATGGACTATGTTTGGAAAAACTAGCACTTAGATGTGTAGGTTTTATTAATGCGCAAGTGTTTAGTAAAAATAGATGGTAGCTATTAAATATGTAAAATTATATAAAAACAAAAGTTATTTGAAATAACTTCTAGATTACAGACCTTTTGTTTAAAATAAAAGATAAAAACTTCCATTGTGGAACATTAGTTTACAAGTTTTTTTTTTTTTCTTAAAAACTCTTAAAAACTGCCACCACTATGAAATTTGTTGTTATTTTGATGAATAACGAAAACTTTAGACTATTTTATTGCAAACCATAAGCTATGCCGACTAGAATATTAGAATGTTTTAAAAAAATGTAATAAAAACATATAAATGACATTAAAAAAAGTTTTTTCACTGTGATACTTGGGTATTTCTATATTTCTAATTCATAATATTTATCTTAAACACCACTAACTAGCATTAAACGATTTTGAGTAACTTGTACATACGCGTCCACCCTATATCTCAATAGTTATATGGTTGATTCCAGGGAATAATAACTTTTCTCAAATATTTAACAAAAGTTTTTATCTAATGATCAAGTATCAAGAATGTACATCACAATCAATCTTACAAATATGTTGTAACGATCAATAAATGACATATTTACGGATTTGGAAAACAAATTTTTCAAAAAAAGAAAATATTGCATGTGTTGGGACAATATAGAAAATATCATCTTTTTGGACATTCATGATTATTAAATGTTATAAGAGTCTTGCAAACTCATTCAATTCCACAAATGCTAATCTTGAGCGTAATTTTGATATAAATGGAGATCTTAATAGACATTTTTATTCTGATACATATACAAGTAGAATATTTTGTATATATATACTTTCTAACTATAGGAAAAGGTTGAAAATACTGTTTTGAACTCATACATGGGTTTCAATTATCATTACTCGACCGAGTCGACTCATTCCCGACCAACTTTTCACGATCAGCCTCAGGAATTCCATTTTCATCAAGAAATCTATAAACACCATCTTCAGGCTCTTTAAGTTCATGATCGTTTGACTTCTTAGTCAACACTTCTGTTGCTATCGATTCCTGTTCTTGGACATTGTCATGGAGTTCACCTTGATTATTAGTTGTATCATCTAGGATCACTTCTGAGTTGACTCGGTGAGTCGACTTCAATGGTGTGACTCGCTCTTTTCGTCCCAATATGCTGGAAATTCGCTGGTTGTTGAGATGGATTGAGAAGATCTCACCAGTGACACTCTTCTTTGTGTATGATTGATTAATCTGGTATAATAACCAAATGCCGAAGGCCATAAACAATGCGAAGCGAAATGTTTGCATAGCTGTTGATGATTTTAGGCGAGTGTTCTTGAAGCTGAATCCATAGTTCATTGTAATCAATCGCTTTTCACGCTGGATTTTCCTACAGAATTTCAGGAAAACGAATTAGATGCATTATATAGGATTGATTAGCAGCAATGTTTGCCATTATAAGCTTCCAATCAAGAATCATGAGAAAGGAGAAGGAAGAACAACACGATCGTACACACACAATATAAAGAAATCGAGAAAAAAATATTATCAGATGATCATCAAATTGTGTTTGGATTACTTCATCAATGGCTGTAAACTAAAATCAAACTACAATACGTCAATACATCGTTCATGTTCCACAAGGAATATTCCTACACTGCAATTGCTCACAAACAAAAACCCTAAAATTGCTACAGTATACTGATCAAAATCAAAACAATCATAGCGGAATCCTAAAATTACTCTAGAATTATCGAGAAAAAGGAAAGAGAGATGATCAAAGCAACTTTACCTCTGGTGTACGAATGGAGCAGAGTTCGATTGCCGAGTGAGTTCCCAAACTCTAAAAAAGAAATCGACTATATATTCTTGTGAAAATTTTTAGGAGATTTGTTGGGGAACCCTTTGAACAAATGTGGAAATATTAGATTTTGAAGCCAAAATTAAATGGAAAATAAACGGTCATGGAGTGTTTTTCTTGTGTTTTCTGTTGCTCAGAGTATTATATTCTACGTTCTTTTTGACTTAAAGCCACAAAGCTACAAATTAATTATTATATTTTTAACCAAATGGTTTATAATCCAAAGTATGTTTTGTGTTATAATGTGTTGAAGCACAAATGTTTCATAGGGTAAGTTCCATTTAAAAATCGAAAATCTTCATAAACGGTCTTTTTGTTTTCAAAAAAATAAAAATCGAAGTTCTATTATTATTATTATTATTATTATTATTATTATTATTATTATTATTATTGTCTTCAAAGGATGATCAATATGGTTTAAATTTTTTGAATGTATGGTTCTTTTGTGCGACTCAGTAAATTTGGAGCCATGTTCTCATGTGCAAATCATGTGAGGATACTTTCGTCATTTGCCTTAAACTCTCCTTATTTAATATTGTTGATCATTTTGCATAACCGACTATCTTCTTCCTCTCTTACTCTATTAACCTCATCCCTCTCCCAAGAGATCCACTTTTTCCTACCTCCTTCCAACTTCCGATTAACAGGGCAACTTTAAGCTTTTTAGGGTTTCAACCAAACGAAAGAAAAATGGTCATCTGTGTTTGGAATATCGGTGAAAATAGCAAAAAATAAAAAAAGATTGGCTTAGAAGTTGAATACAATACACTTTTACATCAAAGAAGTTATTTTTTTCCTTATAGCTAGGGGGTATGCCCTTGTGTTGCTACGAGACTGGGTTCATTCAAATTTAACATTAAGTTCTCCAAATCACCTATTCGATTACCGTATGAAAGACAATGGACGGCAAAACGGTCCATAAAGTTGAAATAAATGACAACGGGGGTTGCTATAATTGTTGCTGTAAAAAAATTGCAACATATTTTTTGCACTGTAATGTAATAGAAATGGTCAAAAAGCTGAAATAAATGACAATCGGTGATATAAATGGTGGGCGTTACATTGCATTGCATAGGCGATGTATGTCGTTATTAAAAATAATAAAGTGTAGGTATAAGGACAACTTTATTGCAGGGGCAATTTGGTTATAATTGTAGCAAAAAATGGAAGAGCAATTTTGTAACGCCCGTAGGTCCGTGCTAGTCAATTTAGAGATAATAGGGGTCGAAAATGATTTTTCGACAAAAGATTATTTAACCAATTTGTAGAATATTTCTCAAGGGATCCGTACATATAAAGAGCACCGAAATCCGAGTTATAACGAAGAAGTTATAATCCGTCGAAGTTTCACGACGGAACCGACACGACACCGGGAAGACGTAAATAGTGAATTTATGATAGAGCGACTTTTAGCCTCAGTGATCTAAATGAAAGTCCTAAAATATGTTAACCTGAGAGCATCCATAAAAAGAACGCCCAAATCTGACTTCATATGAGGAAGTTATGATTTTTCTAAGATTTGGCTTAGCAGTGCACGACCCGAAACTCAAATTTTAGTTCGAGCGGTTTTTGGCTTACGCGACCTAAATGAGAGTTGAAAATCTCATTAATAGGAACTCAACGGTAAAAAGACAGACGAAAATGGAGTCCGTATGAAGGAGTTACGAATTTCTCAAGGTCATTTAACAATCTAATCTCCTCCTACTGTGAAATTTAAGATCGGTCGAAAATTAGCCAACAGAGTCAAAATGAAAGTTGTAAATCTTATTTTTACCTACATTTGGATATAAAGAACGTCAAAAACGGAGCTCGTATACAAAAGTTATGAACTTTAGAAAATCGGCTGATTTCCACACTGTATGCGATGCCACGTGCCAGCACCAGGCTGTGCCTGGTTGTACCCAGCTGGTCACGACGTAGGCATCAAATGGCCATGACGTGGGTACCTCTTCAGCCTCCTATAAATAGAGACGCCCCTCTCCTTCATTCTTCATACCCTAACCCTTCATTCATCTCTTTATACTCTCTCTCTCTAAGCTTTGAAACCCCCCGAAAAGCCTAGGGAACCCCCCTAGCACGAGGCGGAAGCCCCAGAGTGCCCGACGGCCCCGATAAGAAGAGCCTTTCGGCTTGAGAATGCTGCTCCAGCGAAGCTTGGTTTTCGAGAAAACCCGTTGTAAGTGAGCTATGCCTACCCTACCTTTAATATAGCTTATGTTTCAATATATTAATGTTATTAGGACCTTATAATAATTATTTGGGCTATTATTATGAGTTATACAAGAGTGTTGCTTAACGCTTATATAATAATAATAATAATAGCTAGACTATTAGTTAGTCTCGGTGAATATTAGACTAAACCCTAGTGGTAATGATACTAGGTTTTTGTCGAAGGAAATTGTTTTAAGAAGTAACGAAACACTATCTGAATTCAGAATCATCACCTTATCAGGTGAGTGCATAGTTACTTTCATCTTACACATATATATGAAATATTTTATATAAATTACGTGCTATGTGTGCATATTATTTGAATACTTGCTGTCTATGTTGGATGAACGATTTTATACATGTTTTAAAAGATTTAAACGGTATATTTATTTTATATCTACAAATATGTTGCAGATGAAACATGGGTAGATGAAATAGTTGGTGTGTGATGAAATAAAATGATGAGAGATATGTGATGATAAAAAGGCGATGATAATTAGGTAAATAGATGATGATGAATAGGTGATGTAGGATGAAAGGAGATACCATAACCTTAACCGTTAATGTGGCGATGTAGTTATCTACCAGAGTATAGATGGCAACCATAGACTATTCTAGACAACCCCGTGGAACACACCAGCAGGCCCATAACCTGCAGGTGATGAATTACGAGTTCAGGAGTTGTTGTAACTACATATTCATGCGATGATACTCTAACCCCTTACTATGAATTACGAGTTCAGACGATGTTGTAACTACGTATTCATGCGATGATGCCTTAACCCTTGTTGGGCACGTATTGAGGGAGTAATCCCTGAATCAATATTGTCTATGCGATGTAGGCGATGATCCTTAGGGAGAGTCCTTAGAAACAAACATATAAGGAAATGCGATGTAAGGAGATGAGAGGTAAATATGATGTAGGAGACGATCCTTAGGATAAATACTTAGGGAAGGTACTTAGGAATAAAGAAGATAATGGGGATGCGTAATTGGGTTAATTGTTTGATGATTAAACATAATAATTATATTATTGTGGGTTGAAAACCTATGTACTCACCAAGTTTCCCAACCTGACCCACTCAATTTACTTGTATCACAGGTGACGAGGTGAAGTTACATTACACTGAGAGATTAAGGAGATATCGATCACTAGTGTAAATGAATGTAAGTTCTGTTTATGCTTATATTTTTTGTATTGACGATGACATCCCAAATGTTTTAAAATGAATAAAAATACATTTCTTCGGAAATGCTTTGATAATGAAATTATCATGTTTTTCTGGGAACAAATTCCGCAACGTTTTTATTAAAAGAGATACTCTGATTTCTATAAAGCATAAACAAAATCAGTTTTTTCTGGCTGTGAAAATGGAAATGTCACAGACACATCCCAAATGTTTTAAAATGAATACAAATATAGTTCTTCGGAAATGCTTTGATAACGAAATTATCATGTTTTTATGGGAACAAATTCTGCAACGTTTTTATTAAAAGACATACTCTGATTTTTATAAAGCATAAACAAATTGGTCTTTTCTGACCGTGAAAATGAGGATGTCACAAATTTGGTCATAAACGGTATATAAAAACGCATCAAAACCAACAATTTAGTCAATCTACTATTTTACAACGTAAAATTTGAAAATACAAAAACTACATATTGATCTATTATCATTTATTGCATCAAACTTCTTAAAACTCAAAAACATGGGCAATTCACTCATAATTGCAACGAAAACAACAAAAAGGGACAGTTTGGTCATAAGGAAAAGACTTATTTTTTTCATTACCAATCTAATTGTTTTCACCAATCTTTTACAATCAAAGATAAAAAATAAATAGCACAAAACCTAAAACATAAATGGTACTAAATACAACAACTAACAACTCATATTAATTCTTCTAGAAAATTAGTATATAAGTGAATACACATCTTATTAAATGAATTATTATGAATTCAATAAGCCATTTAGCATCATGATTTTCACCTTTTTTTTTAAATATTTATTTAACAGAATATGTTGGCGGAAGTCTTATTTTGAATTTTATTAAAACGTCACCAATGTTATTTTCATGACAAAACAAATCAATTGGAGTTTAAAGTTCACAAAAAATAATATGATGAAAACCCAACATGTCCAAATGAAATTATATCCAAAGATACTAAATAAAACTACCCAAAAAGCTCCCATGCTCACCAAAGCATCATGTCAAGCTACTTGTTTTAATGCACAACAACCAGCAAGCAAAAAATAAGTGTTAGCATAAACTAAGTAAATCAATTATAATATAATATTAAAAGAACACACATATCATAAATGGATCACACAACACACTTCCACACAATCAAAAACTCAAGCAAGACATAACAAAAACACTCAGCATGTCCAACACTGTTTAGCTCAACTAATTTTATTTTTCCTTTAGAACTTCTTTTTGTTAGTTATTCTCGTAGTCCATGTTGTAACTAATTTTCTATCTTTTCACTGCTATATTATTATTATATAATATTTTTTTCTCCACTTTATTTTAATAATTACTCACCGCTTACTATCACCGTAATTACTAAAGTAATACTTCATAATTAATGTCTAATTATTCACCGCTAATCCTCAAGGCAACTATCCAAATCTATTCTAATAAATGAAATTTTTTTACCACATGTCACATTATCATTCAATTTGTCATATGTTATTTTGTGGTTATTTTGAATTTTTTTTTTTCAAATGTTATTTTATGAGTTTTTTCTATTTTAATAAACGCCACATAATATTTTAATTTAATAATTACAATAAATGTTGTAATAAATGAATATCAATTTCATTAATGGACTTATCTTTTTATTTCAAAATTTCTCAGTTTAAAGCTCATTAGTTATTTTGTTTATTTATTTAAACTTAAAAAATTAAAAAAAAAATCAATTTTAATAATTATTTTTTATTATTTTTTTATAAATTAAAAGTTCTTAAATATTTAAATATTTATATTCAATTTTTTTTAATAAATTCGCATAATAAATTGGTTGTACACCGAATTACTTTAATTCGGTAACCAAAAGCCCTTTAACCAAAATTGATTGTACACCTAGTTACTTTAATTCAGTAACCAAAAAAGGATTTTAATTCGGTAACCAAGAGTTATGTAATAGAAATATAATGGCCAACGATTAGACCAACCATGTATTGATTTTCCTCAAGATATTAAAATAGTAAATAAATTATAATCTCTTTATTAACCATTGCATGTGTTTCCAAAACTAGGAAATACCACACACACATCCACCATGCGAAGTATATCAAGGTTAATGTCTTTTTTCTTTCAATTGATACCAAAGAACACATGCCACTCATTGCTAATGTGTAAATGCTATACATTATGT